GCTACATAATTTTCTTTTTGGCTTATAACAAATAGTTTATACATTAAATATAACCAATTAAAATTTACAAAATAAAAATAAAAAATAAAAATCTCAATAATCGCATAACTGAAAAGAATTTACATATGAAACAAAATATCACCAATATATTTAAGAGTAATAAATTTATTCGGTGTATACATTAGTCTTTAAATAATATTTTATCAAAAAATATCATTTTATATTTAATTAATATTTGTTTCTAACTATTTCAATTGTTTTTATTCAATTATTTTACTTTGTAAACTGTGGAGCCCACAGATTATAACTTAGTTTTTAATAAGATGTTAAAGAATTCACAAATGAAATGTAGTTCTATTCAAAATGATATTGTATATCTTACAACAAAGGAAACTATTAAAGTTACTATGAAGGATATTAGAGATAAGTTCTCTGCAATTTTTAAACACGAGTCCTTTGACGTGTCTTTTAAAGAGAAAATGACATTGGTTTTGTAATATCCCATAAAAATTATACCAAATTTAAACTTTTTAAAACATTTCAAAACTAGTGATTATTACAAAACTTGTTTTCAAAATAGTATAATATAAGAGTATCCCATAATCATATCATAAATCATGAAATATAAGGAGCTGTACGATCACACATCTGCCTTCCCGCGATCATCATAAGTACCTGAAACAATAATCGATAAATGTAAAGTCGAAGGCTTAGTGAGTTACCCTCGAAATACTAACGTCATAAAAATATCAATAACATATAAGCAAACAGCATGCATAATGAGCCTTCAGTCTGACTGGACCGCCTCGCATGCCTTTAGTCTATCTAGACCACTCTACGAACCTTCGACACGTTTGGACCGCCTCGCAGGGCTTACAGCCTATCCGGACCGCTCGTCGGGCCTTTAGCTTGACTGAACCACTTTGCAGGGCCTTCAGTTTATCCGGACCGCCTTAGGTATGTTGGCCTTCAGCACAAAGTAGGACCGCCTCAACCCAACCCCCAATCAAACAAACACGTGCACATAAATATCATACGCTAGCATATATAACAATCAAACCGATCTAACAGATCACTAATCATAGCAACATCCTATAACCAGGATACAGACCTAACCGATCACTAACATAGCATCATCTTATATACCAGGATACCGACCTAACCAGGTCACTAAACGTATCACCATCCTAATTACTAGGATGTAAAATCAATAAACATATCATACAATAACACGAAAAGGGTCGGGATTGGTGCGTTCGACCCTATTAGTATAGTGAGGACAACTCACCTCTCAAGTAGCTCGGAATGATAGTATCAGTCTCCTCCAAATACAGCTCCAACACCAATGCCTATATCCACCAATGATCCACTTCCATAAGTTCCCAAATTACCAAAATACCCCTAGAAGTCAACTGGTCAACCCTTGGTCAAAGTCAACGTCAACGGTTAGGGTCAACAGTCCATGTTGACCCAACTCGTCTAGTGCAGCTCACTGACTCGTTGAGTCTTTCCAGAACTCGAGAAGTCATGAAAACCCTAACTGACTCGTCGAGTCCTCTTACTGAATCGACGAGTCCATGCAGAAACTAAACAACGGGAAAACCCTTCCCAACTCGTCGAGTTGGCTTATCCAACTCGTCGAGTTCATGCAGTCCATTTCTTATCCAAATGATTTTAAGCTACTCCAAAGCTCCAATTGGTAGATCTAGCCTCCTAGGGCCTAGTTACCACGTAAATTTGCAAACTTTATGTGCATGAAAGGCCTTAAGAGTCAAAACTAGGCTAAAGAAGAAGTCTAAGGCAAGGGGAAGGCGATAGCTTTACAAAGACTAGAACTTTGTGACAATAAGGGGCTAAAGGAGTCCAGATCTGAAGTTGCACCCTCAGATCTTGCCCCAAATCCGGAAATACTACAACAATACACTAGAAACGGTTCTAGCTAAGGGAGAGCCAAGATAACGACTTGTTACCTTCAAAGTGATGCTAAGATGGAGTAGAATTCAAATCTATAATTTCTCCTTGCTCCAAGCTCCTTGGGCTTCAAGTTCTTCTCACCAAAGTCCACCTTCCAAGCCTAATGACACACAAATATGGAGAGTATATACGATTTAGGGTTTCTGAGCTCAAGGGGGGCTGTAAGGGAGGTTAATGCCCTTTTAAATAGGGTGCAAAACACTGGAAATTAGGGTTTCATCTTCCAGCTCCAACTCCTCGAGTTGTATCCTTCAACTCGTCGAGTTGGTCACTTAAGACACGTGGCCAGGTTTGTTGCTACTCGATGATTCAGTGCATCCAACTTGTCGAGTAGACCTTTCAAAATGAATATAAGAATGTAAAGTTATACCTGAGAGTCGGAGTGTTACAGGTTTTGTGGTTTGTCAATAGTCGAGGGGTTGTTATGGAGATGTTTAATGTTATAAAACAGTCGATGACCCTCCAAAATTACTATTTAAGATAACCATTTATGCACTTTTACCAGATTGTATATCCACACACAATAGGGTCTGAGTACAAGGTTATGATGAACCTAGTAACGTAAGAGGTGCATTTAATGACTTATAGTCGATGATTATGAATGTAGTAAAATCTAAATAATTTATTCATTGTTTTCCTTACATGTTACGGTTAACGCTTGTTTTTCTTCTCGTTTGAGTTGATTTCTCAATTTTTAAACATAATAGGATCTAACATGTAAACATCGAGACAAATTATAAGAGAAACAAACAACAAAAATGATACTCATTGGTTGCATTAGTGGTGGAGCTAGTGTGTATCTGGGTCCATGCACCCCACTTGGTTGTAGTTCTCAACATATTTATACATATATAAATATTTTTTTTAAGTTAATAACCCTCTAGATATTAAGAGGCATCCAATTACTCAGTAATATTAATTTCTGAGTTTGATTGAATTTTTTTACTTAGTTTTATGAGCTATTTGAATGGAAAAACCAACATGTTAGATATTAAATAATGAAAACTACCTTTCTTAGTTTTGAAATGAAAATAGATCCGGTAATTTGCATGGTTAAAAGAGAAAAAATTTCTAAGGTTACAAATAAAGATGTTATCAACTTTAAATTATAAAATGGATCTCAGTTTACTTTTGGTTCGAATCCGCCACGGTTGCATGAGTCTTTATTCTGTTACGTTTGTTTTATACTAATTGACATTATTATTTTGCTACATTGCATTGTTTATCTACCTCCAACTTTTATTATTGCTTCATGAATCTTGGGCTTAATATACAATTTTTTTTTTGTCACTTTGCCTCTAGATGGTCCAATTTTTATTCAAGTTGCCCTAAGTTTGGTCAATTTTGTGTCGTTTAGTTCGATTTTCATAACTCATATTAATCATTAACCGGTTATCGAGACGAGTTTTACAACACTGCAACTCCATAAAGTTGATCGCAAAGTGGAATTTTCTAAACTTGGTTGAATTGCACATGATCAACATTGGTAAAGATGATTTGCAAGGAGGCCTAAAGTTGGTCATTTTCTTCTCCTTGAATCTCGCTTTCATCATATCTAACTACGAATACATTGTTCTTCGATCAAACACTAGTGGAGAATACATCTCATATTTTTCAAAAATTCCTACAAGAAAATGGCATAGTTTCTCAACGATCGTGTCCTTCAACACCTTAAAAAACGGGTGGTTGAAAGAATAAAAACCGTCACCTTGATGTCTATACGCTTCTCTTAGTTTCCGTTTATCCATGCTAGGTTTTGGTTTCTATATCAATGCACCTCATTAAGAGACTCCCCTTCTCCATCCTTGAACAAGATATCTCCTTTTACTCGATTATTTGGTCGCAATCAACTTATTCTAATCTTTATACCTTCATTTGTGTTATTAGCCCTTGTTGACTCTAACTCATGATGGCCTTTACTTCAAATGGGCATCAAGATTGCCTTTTTACATGGTGAATTTAAATAAGTTTATATGAAACTTCCCCATGGTCCTCATCTAATTATGTTTGCAAACTAAAATGATTCTTACATATAGCTTGTATTAACTTCACATTTAGAAAGTATCCCAACAAAGAAACATGTCATACCATAGAGTAATGGTTGTAGCATTTGAATATTTGTGTTCTGCAGCATGAGCATTTGATGCTTCTTGCTGAAAGTTGTATCGAGTCAAAACTGATCCTAAAATCAGAAATTTAAGCAAAAAAAAAAAAAAATTGAACTCATACAACCTTAAAAAATCAAAATGTTTATCACAAATATATTGACCTTACCCATCTTTCATTTTGCTTCCAGCCAAACACAAAATCTGTAGGGCTAAAAATAAGCAGAAAAGGAATATGATTTACAGCATTGAATGTGTCACATTATAATATGGAAAAATAGATTATCAAACAATAACTTTGTTTATTAAAGGAAAAAAATAGTCATATATTTCCACATCAATATGAAGACTTGAAATCCTGAATTAGTAGCAGAATCCATGTCCGTTTATGTTTCAGCAAATGCTTTGAACAGGTCAACGTTGACCAATTTGTATCAACTTAAGAGCACACATAAAGCACATAACCAAATGCAAACCTTGTTCAAAGTATTAAGTTCTACAAACAGTTCATTTTAAAGTCATGATACCATAACAAATATACAACACATTAAATCAGACTTTAGGATCCTCGTCTTAATGATGAAATATTTAGCTTTAGTGACAAATCATATGCTAATGCATTACCATTTCACTAAATAAATTGAAAAGACACGATATATTAATTATATACTGCAGCAACTGGAAAAGAACAAAGATCATCATCAAAAAAACAAAAGATTCATCCACCAAAGCTTTACAAGGCACAGACACTGTAATATTTTCTAAGCTATGGAGTACAATATGCCTTATAAAGCAAAGCAACCTAACCTCCCTACAAATTTTAGAAAAAAAAAAAAGTACCTATCTTTCCAAAGTAAAGGATGAAATGTACATCATCAACAAGGAACACCATGTAAACTGTGAAGAAACCTAAACTCAAGATCAAACCTGAAAAGGGTCCTGTTCATCCTTTTCAACAGAAAGAATAGGAAGAGACCCTTTTTGGTCACCATAAACATGGATTTTTTCAACCAATTTGGTTGTTTCTTTCTTGTTATTGAAAGATCTAGCATCTTCCTTGGTCAAAAAATTCCACAAGAAATCAGTCAATACGGATTCATAACCAGGCATCTTGGCATAGCCAGGGAAATAATTGATGTCTACAACAAGGTACCTGTTTCCAATTCTGGTATCCCTGATCACATCAAAGTTGAAGAGATGCAATTTCATTGCCTTACGCAGGCCACGAGCGATATTAGTTATCAGGCTCATCGGAGGCATCTCTGCGCTTTCCAGAATCTTGTAGTATGTATCGTCATTCTTTGGATGCGAAGTCATGTTAGAAACCTGACAAAATGGTAAAGAACCATGTAAACTCCCCAATTTTTCTTCAGTAATGTCCGCTAAGGACTTCCGCTTCACGCATTGGACATAATCTCCGACCACATACACTTTAAAGATCACCCCGCCGTGGTTCACAAACTCCTGCAATACAGTAGGGGGTTTCAGTTTATCCAAACCCTCACTACTGAAAACCAAAGACATTTTATGCGATTTCATACTTCCGTCCGCCACCAAGGGTTTCGCAATCACCGGGAACTTCAATCCCTCGTCCCAACACGTCGTGTCTTTCAGCTTCTCCGATTCGTATATCACCGTCTGCTTCGGTGTCCCAAAGGAAGCCGACTCACCGTCTTTCACCTCCGCCGCCTCAATCTCCGAAACCACTTCGAGCATGGAAATCCGGTTCTGTAACCGCTGGATTGCGTCAGGAGAATCGATTATGTAAGCGCTAGGGTTCCGAATGGAGTACTCCTTTAGCTGTTTCCGCCAGTCTTCAGTGTTCAACTTGTGAAGCACACAATCAAAAGGGCCTTGATCAATTAGCGGCTTGTCGGTGTCGATCCTAATGAGATCAATACCACGCTCTTTTGCCGAATTCAACAAAGAACACTGAACGAAGCTGCGCTGTTTCTTCTGTAACAGTGCGTAACCCACACTGAATCGCTTCGCCGTCACTTCCGCCATTTTCACAATTCTAGAACAACTGTATTTTCTGCAAATTTCACCAATGCAATCACAACGCTCATAACAAAAACTTCAATAGAGAGTTAGGGTTCTTTGTTATGAATTAGATATCATAGGGAAAAAAAAACAGGAATCAAAATCGAAGAGCAGATATTGTAATTGTTCTAGTGTCCTAGAGAGATGTATATATCAGTGATGTGTGTGTGTATTGGGAATGATATAGTGCAGTGTGCAGATAGTGAAACGGGGGATATATATAGGGTTCAGATGGCGAGTTTACTCGTGTATCGAGTTACAGGATTCAACTATAGTTAAAGAATGGATAGGACACGTGGCATATTCATTGAAATTAAGCTACGTATATACTCAACCGTTGGATTTATATACAGTCCCAATCAACGGATGAGATCTAACTGTTCTCTGACGTAAGTCAACCATAATGACTGAGGCGGACCCACAAGTCGCTTGTTACACTTGACTACGGTCTTCCATCTGAATATCGTGTTCTATTTTTAGATGCTTATTTTTAACATTTAAAACTAGGACTTCCTATTTTCAGAAATTAATAATCTTTTTTTTTTTTAATATTATTCATTTATGTGTTTAAACTATTCAACAAAGAGTAAATTACAGAAAAGGTCCCTGTGTTTTGGTCAGATTCATCATAAGTTTAAAAATTGACAGTATATCCCTATGGTTTATGAATGTTATATTTTTGGTTCTTGCTTTATATAAAAATACTAACTTACCTGTCATTTTTCTTTTTCAATTTTTTTTTAACAATTTATTATTTATTATTATTATTATTATTATTATTATAAAAACAAAGATAAATAAATAAAACTAAGAATAGATTATATATATATATATATATATATATATATAATTTAAGAAAATAAAATTTATTTTATAAAAACTTTATACAAATTCTATTAAAATAAAGATCAAATAAAATTGTTATATAATAATAATAATAATAATAATAATAATAATAATACATTGTTAAAAAAAAATGAAAAAGAAAAAAGAAGGATAAATTAGTCTTTTTATATAAAGCAAGGACCAAAACTGTAATATTTACAAACCAAAGAGATGCAAACTATTAATTTTTAAACTTAAGGCCTAAAACTGAAAATCCAACCAAAATACAAAGACAATTTCTATAACTTACTCTTTAACAAATATATCAATAGGATAACTTCACCTTTTTAATCAAACATATTTATTTGATCTATTAATTTTTGAGTGCATCTTTTTCTCACACTCATACTAAATTCAATTTAGAGTCACATTTATTATTCATCTCCCCCTTCTTATCACTATAAAAATGTGTTTAATTCGCCAAACATCGTATGTATTCCTTTCTCAACTTGTGATTGTTAAACGAAGAATATTGTTTAATACCATTTCAAGATTGTGAGGGAACATGGTTTGATATGAGGATGCTTCTAACTTTTTAATGCTTACCAAATCACGTTGAAATATACAAAAGCCTCTTGCCACATTTCAACTTTGTAAATTGATAGTTGGACAAGTGTACTTGTTGACAAATGTTGTTGATATACAAAATTAATTGGAATGCCGTAACTTTTTCTTGGATCAATTTAGGGTACTAAAATGTTTTTTAACCTTAAATTAGGAGTTGTTACAAATCTCACCTCTTCATATTTACGAGAGCTAGGGCCCACCTTATACTGCCCCATCATAAAGTGTACCTTTAAATCAGGGTCTCTTTAAATCACTGGTTATTCCACGTGGATTTGATGACATCATTTTAATTGTGTTATGTTATGGCATATACATTTCATATCTCATATTAAAATTATTATCCTCTCAATATCATTGTAACATCCCGAAATATTAAGAGTAGAGTTGAAGGGCTAAAAGAGTAAATTGGGAAAGAGTGACTCGGCGAGTCCATGTGCGGACTCGGCGAGTAGAGTCGCGACCTGGTCGCGTGTTAAGTGGCCGACTCGGCGAGTCAGTGTAATGGACTCGGCGAGTAGGCGCTGAGTGGAGAAAACCCTAATTCTCGGGGTTGAGCCTTATATAAAGATCACTATGTTTTCCTCCTAGCCTCTTTATCACCCCTTGAGCCCCAGAAAACCCTAAATCACGGAGAAGCACCATTGTTGAGTGGATTGGAGCTTGGAGAAGTAATGGTTGAAGGAATTTTGGGAAGATTGAAGGCTTGGAGCAAGGGGATTTGCTTGGATTCGAATTTCATTGCAGTTGGGGCATCACTTAGAGGTAATATCTCGTTATTGACCTGTTGTTATGTTGTTTCTTCATTTTGGGGTTTGTGAGAAATTGTCTATGGATGAAATGGGAAGTCTAGAGGTTAGATCTGAGGTTGCTACCTCAGATCTGGAAGGGAGAAGAATCAGAGAGCATGAAAGTCCCTGTGTTGGAGTGTTTAGTGAAGCTTACATGTCCCAAACCCTAGCCCCAATGTGCAAACGGCTTAGATCTCTTTGGATTCACGTAAAGTTTGCCACTTTACGTGATGGATGGGTTGTAGGAGGCTAGATCTATGTTTTGGATCAATTGCATGGCCTGGAGTGCTTCTGAATGGATTCAGAACGGTGGTACTCGGCGAGTCACATGGGTCGACTCGACGAGTTGCTTGAAGATGGCCTGGAACTCGACGAGTAGGTTGAAGATAGCCTTGGACTCGATGAGTCTTGTCGAAGAGTCCCAAATATTCTCTGGTTGAGCCGAGAATCGGTGAGTCGAGGGATGACTCGGTGAGTCAGTGCGAGTGGACTCAGAGTTGTTGGACTCGGCGAGTCTCGGGGTGACTCGGCGAGTTAGGTCGCAGATTGAATGAAGTTCTGATTATGGGAACTCGACGAGTCACAGGGTTGACTCGGCGAGTAGGGTCAGTCAGGGGTTGACTTAGACTGAGGACTTTGATTTCGACCAAGGGTTGGCCGTTGACTTTTAGGGTTTGGTCAGCGATGTGGCCTTTGGGCCAAGAGAGAGGTAAAATAGTCTTTTAACCATAAGAGGGTGTTATGAGAGGATTTATTCTAGTCTCGAGAGTTATATTCATGAGAGTATTTGCCTTACGTGTTAGGCGGTGGCGAGTTCGAGATTCAAGTGTGGGGATATCTGCTTCCTGCTTGCCAGGTGAGTCTTCTCACTATACTTTACCTTGAGTAGGTAACCAGAGTTATGTGATTAGAGTATTTGTATGCTATATGTACGTGATGTGTTGTACTGCATTATTTCTATGTGATTTATGCTGTGCATGTTTATAGAGTTGGAACCGGAAGGTTCCCAGAGTTAGAACCTGAGGGTTCACAGAGTTTGGGTGCACGGACCCACAGAGTTATAGCCTCGAGTGGCTAATATGTGTTATGTGTGGTATTTTGGGGAACTCACTAAGCTTCGTGCTTACAGTGTTTTGTTTGATGTTTTTCAGGTTTCTTTCAGTATCACGGGACGGCACCGGCTTGATTGTACACACCAGAGAAAGAGTCATATTTTGGAGGATCCTGGTTTTCTATGCAAGTGAAAATGGAGTTATGTTTTGTAAATCGACTATGAATAAGATTTTAAACAAGTGTTTCTAAGAGTAAAATGATTATTTTAAATGAAAATTTTGTCTTGAAATTTACGGTGTTACAAGTTGGTATCAGAGCCTTGGTTTGAGGGATTCGGATGCGCCTTCGGGTAAATCTGGACTCAAACTGAGGAAGTAAGAAAAGTTTTAAGGAAATAATTTTCTAAAAATGAATAAGGGTTCAAAGAGGAAGCAAGAAAGAGCAGTGTGTACAATCAGCCAGAGCCCGAACGGTGATTTCCCAAAATACCCTTATTTTGTGTTATGAGATATTTATGATGCACTTTATGAGATATTATTGCATGCTAGAGACAGGCTAGGTATTTCATATGTTAGGACTAGAGTGGCCTGATTTGTGATGCCTTAGCCTAGGACTCGTTGTTATATGTGTTATGCTTTTGAGTATGTGATGAGTGAGAGTATCCAGTTAGAACCCATGAGGGGTAGAGTTACAGAGTTTGGTGGTACTTTCGAGGATGAGCCGAGAAGGTGGAGTTATCACAGAGAGGGAGTCCTATGTATTCTTCGATGCTCGAATGCTGCTTGCTTTGTGCTGTGGAACTCTCGATGATGGGAGTCAGCTACCAAGTGAATATGACGATATTCAGGAGGTAGATGGCTGGCATCATTAGGAGCTCTTCAGCAGCTGATAGCAAAGAAGGGGAGGACAATGGAAGAGCCTAGGGAGTAACCCTAGCCAGATGAGTGCGCTTGCAGAGTAGAGAATTTCGCTGGGGAGCGAGCACGCGCGATGGGATTAGTGAAAGGGCAGGTCGAGCAGCTACTTAGAAGCTCTGGGATGGTCCGTGTGGAAAGTATGGGTAGATGTGGCAGGTAGTATGGGCCCGTACTACTGAAAGCAGAGGACCCATACTTGATACAGGGAGTATTCTGAAGGTTCTAAGGAGCGGATTGAGGAGTGATGTTATGGTTCGGGTACCATACATCAGAGCAGATTGAGGAAGTGATGTTATGGTTCGAGTACCATACATCAGAGCAGATTGAGGAGTGATGTTATGGTTCGGGTACCATACATCAGAGCAGATTGAGGAAGTGATGTTATGGTTCGAGTACCATACATCAGAGCAGATTGAGGAGTGATGTTATGGTTCGGGTACCATACATCAGAGCAGATTGAGGAGTGATGTTATGGTTCGAGTACCATACATCGGAGCGGATTGAGGAGTGATGTTATGGTCCGGGTACCATACATCGGAGCGGATTGGGGAGTGATGTTATGGTTAGGGTACCATACACCGGGGCATATTGAGAAGAGATGTCATGGAATGAGTACCATGGGTCGTAGTGAAGGATGTTTGTGGTTCTCTGGTTATTCGGTCATGAGTAAGTTCGATGAGGCGTCCCTTGAGAGGGAGATCGAGAGCCCCTCAGAGTATTTTAGTAAGGAGTCAGTGAGAAGGGAGAATTTCGA